GAGGGGGGGGCCTAAGGGGGGTCACAAAAGGGGACAAGGGAGGGACATTCAGGGTGAGATTTGGGGTGGGGGTCCGAGATTGGGGTTGGGGCACTGTGGGGGTCACCCAGGAATGGGTGGGGGTCACTCGTAGCCCCCTCCTCAGGATCCCGGGGTGCGGCTGTCGAAGGCCCTGAGCTACGTCCTGCGCCATGGGGCAGCGGCTGAGGGGCTGCCCATGGGCCCGGGTGCGTGAGACCCCAAAACCCACCCCAAAATCCACCCCAAAATCTCCTCAAAATCCCCCTCAGCCTCCCTGACCTGTCCTGGTACCCCTGAACTGCTCTGAGAACCCTCAAAATTGCTGCTGGCACCCCCCAACAACCCCAAATCCACCCAAAAGTTCCTTCTGGACCCCTCTGAATCCCAAAACGCCCACCAGGACCCCCAGCCCACCCCAAAATGTCCTACTTGGACCCCCCAAATACCCCCTGGGACCCCCGACAGCCCCAAAAATGTTCTTTGAACCCCTGAATCGGCCCCAGGACCCCTCAAATGCTCCCTTAGACCCCAAACTACCCCTGCCCTGTCCCCAGATGTCTCCCCTGACCCCCAACTCAACCTAAAAACACCCCCTTGAACCCTTCAACACCCTCCAGGTTCCCAAAAATGTTCACTGGGATCCCCTAAACACCCCCTGGGTCCCTCCCCATGCCTTTTGGAACCCCCCAAATTCCCCCAAACCCCCCTTGGCACCTCCCAAACCGCCTCTGAGACCCCAAACCATCCCAGATGCCTTTTGGGACCCCCCCCAAAATCCCCCTAAAAGTCTTTTGGGACCTTCCCAAAGTCCCTGACGGGGGTCTCGTGGGTTTTTTTTGGGGGGATCAGATGGTTTTGTCGAAGTGGGGGCTCTGCTGCGGCTGCGACGCTTTGCGGGGGTCTCGGAGGAGGAYGTGTGTAGGGTGGTGGCCGCTGACCCCAAAGGTCGTTTTGCCCTCCGGCCGGACCCCCTGAGGGTGAGGGCGAACCAGGGACACTCCCTGCCGGTGAGGAGGGGTCTGC